CAAGCAAGCAAGCAAGCAAGCAAGCAAGCAAGCAAGCAAGCAAGCAAGCAAGCAAATAACAAGACCTCTACCTCAAAAGTAAAGTAGCATGATTTTCCACCAATAGGCGAAGCTGTGATCATAGGATGATAACCTGATCGATCTAAAATATAAAAGGTGAACTTTATTAAGTGTTTCTACAGGAGAGAACCAATAACAAACTCAACTCACATATGACACCGAGTCAGGGAATCCAACCCAGGTAGCAATGGTTAGAGGTGAGCGTTCTCAACGCTACGCCACCCAATATGACATTATGGGGCAGTTTTCGTATGCGTGCCTTGCCGCGTCACCGTGATGTTTTCTAGAATTTTTGATTGGCTGAGATTTTCTTCTGTCGCAATGTGATTGGTCTGGCGTATGCCTTGCCGTGTCACGACCGTGTTTATGCCACGAGCTTTTCACAGTCAACCTAGAAAACTGCTCTAACAGGAAGCATGGGTGGCATGCGCTGCTATAATGCTCCGCCTCTCACCAATGCGACCCGGATTCGAACCCTGTCGGTCTCGGTGTCGTATGTGAGTAGAGTTGTTTGTTGGTTCTCTCCTGCACTTCGAGGGTTTTGCAGGTTCTCCGGTTTTCCTCCCTCCTCAAAAAGCAACTTCAGAATTCTAATTCGATCTTGTGCTTTTACCTAGTTGGAGCCTAGCTCTGTTGTGGATGTCCCAAGTAGTGATACAACAGCTAAAGTTTAATATATCTTATGCCAACCCTACGCCACCCATTCTCGCCGCACGCCACCTATTGTTACTCACTCACTTTGATTGTTATTCCTTAGAGCGTCTGGTTTCAGTATGTAGCCACATCCACCGTTCTTACGAAATTTCCCTTGATTCAAATGCATGCCTGAATCTTGAATGAAGACAAGAAGTAGTCATGTCAAAACTAAAGTATTCTGATTTCCTCTTTTTCATTCTACCGAAATGTTACGCTATTTTGCGGTTGGTTGGGGGAGAGGGGAGGGAGATTTTAGATAGGAAACATAAAAGCACAAAAATTTTGTGCAAATCTAGATCTCGGACAGGCAAAGGAACAATTGAAAACAATGGAATTAGTGATGATGATGATTTATGGATTTATCTAGAGCCTTTTCTATATGGATATAATCAAAGGCGCTTTACATTGAGTTGTGAATGACAGATTGCTTTTATACAATTTACAAGCATGAGAGGTGGTTAGTATGAAGCGTAGGCACTGAGGGTGGTCACTGCCAGGGTTTCTTTACGTCCTCAGTGGATCTTTTAGTGTCTACTGCCACGTATACGCCTATTTTAAAAAACGTTTCGGTCGGAAATCTGAGATGGGTGGTCACTGCCAGGGTTTCTTTACGTCCTCAGTGTTTTTTTTAGTGTCTACTGCCACGTATACGCCTATTTTTAAAAACGTTTCGGTCGGAAATCTGAGATGGGCGGTCACTGCCAGGGTTTCTTAACGTCCTCAGTGTTTTTTTAGTGTCTACTGCCACGTATACGCCTATTTTAAAAAACGTTTCGGTCGGAAATCTG